TGCTTAGATCACAGGTCACAAATTCAAAGGAATTGATCACGTGCTATTGATTTCTCCAGCCTTAGTTTTTCAAATTGGTCACAAGTGCAATTAAACGGTGAGAATTGTAGTTATTTGCTCTAGTGAGCACTCCGTAGATTACATCTTATCAATTTTCAATTTAAAAAATAAGATCTAAATTACACCAGCGCTGCTCAGTTATCGATAAAAAAGATTATTAGTCGTTGACGATGCTTAATTGATGTTCTTAGATGACCACTACATTTCTTCCTCTCTACTATCCGAGCCGACATGCTCACTCGCCATTGAGCAGCAACCAGTTCGCATTTGAAGAAGAAGTTCAGTCGCCGATGATCTTTGTAGAATCTATCCTTCCTTCGATGAAGTTATTTGGATGCTGATGATTGTGAGAGTGAATATCAACGAGTAGATGCAGATGAAAATAAGAAAGGATGACGACGGGTGGAAGTTAGTAATGGTGGCCCAGACTGGAGAGAAATTGAAATTATTTTATAATTTTTTATTTAATGAATGGAATTTAATTACCATCTAAGTCTTGAAAATGCAAACGTGTTCTCTTAAAATTAAATTGGGCTAAACTCATGATCTGAGATAAATTTTTCCCAAAATAGAAGAGGATCTAAAAGTTCCATATAATATTATGATTGGGTCCTAGAAAGGATAAAAAAGTTTCATATAATGGGTACTAATACCTAATTATACAATCGAAAGCTTCAACCCAAACCATAATTTACACGCACACAGAGGCCATTGAATCTTACCATGGAAATGTAAAGCCAGGAGCATAGAGCATCATAAAGCAAAATCTTTTGTTGCTATCAGTTATAGAAGTTACTGCAGTGACTGGATGAGAATGAACAAGAACTCCCACTGGAAATTTCCCATCCATACCATCATTTGTTTTTTGATGAATCAAGACATACTAAGAATTACCGAAACTACATAATCTTGCTCAACGCGGATTCTACCAGAACGAAACATAGATAAACCGTACAATGATGTTTAAATTTCGCTAAGGAAGAACCCTCTAATAGTCACTGTATAGTGGATTTCCCACAATTTACTAGCATACATATCAGCTTCTTTGTGAGAAAAGCTACAATCCTTGCCTTTTGATGGACGGGCTTCAGAAATTATCTTTATCTTCGTCTTTCATAGAATTGGGAATGTCATCAAAGCCAGAACCTGGGGCAAGCTCGTTGAGATCAAGAAAATGCCTTTTCCATACACCATCAACTTTGTCTTGATCTGTCTCATTTGATTTTTCTGGTGGATGTGTTTGCTCCTCATCATTTGTCTCGAGTTGGTCCTTGGTAGGCTGATCAACTTGCTCGTGCTTTTCATTGCTCGACACTGAATCCCGACTTCCCATCGAGAACTCTTCATCACTAGCAGTTGGGTGCTTGTCTAATGCATTTGACTTCTCAGGTTTCATTGATTCAGTTTCTGATTCAGACATCTCAATCTGTCTATAATCAATACGAGTTCTGGTTGCCCTTTTACTGCGTCTAAGGCCTGACTGAAGCTCATCGACTGACCTCAATTTGGTTTCTCTCCTGGTGCGGGATGGCAATGTTTTGAATTTACGGGGCTCATCACTATCCTCACTTGTACTCAAGGCATCATCCTCTTCTTCCTCCTCCTCCTCTTCGGGATGTTCTTCATCCCAGTTGTACTCTTCATCTCCTTCGGAGCCACTCGATATTTTCCTCCTCTGTTTCCGTCTCCTTAGATATTCTTCATCATATACAACTTCGCCAACAATATCATCATCACTATCAGAGTCTACCTCGTTATCCGAGATAGCTTCAACAAACTCTTTCAACCTCTGAGGCCTCTGCCTTTGGCGATTGCTACCGGACATGGGATAATCAGTTAGTTCGGGCATTGATGACCAGCCCGACCCACCCACCCAAGAAACAAGGAAAGACTAATGGAGTACCTGTAATCCAATGTTTCAGCTTTGTGGTCATCAAAAACTTCATCGTTGTCAGGTGATACGGGGGAGAGAGAACTGAATGAGGCACGTCTAGAATATTGCGAAGGACCACTCCATCCGCCATTTGTAGAAGCTTCATTTTTCACTTGAAGATCTCTTCTGTCAAAAGGTTCCGGGGAAGGATGTTTCTTCCTGATGTAGGAGAGCAAACAGATAAGTCAAAACAATCTGAGTGGCTATCATCTGAAGAAAAAGAATGAGAAACAAAAGAGATTAGAAGTGACTAGGATTCATACTTGGTGACCTTGATAGCCTCATTAATGGATCGATCATAATCATCTACAATGTGATCATATCGAAATCAGAATTCAAGTGATTCGGGGGTTCAGATGCCAAAAGAGAATTTGAGCAATTGTTTATGCAGAATAAAGCACAATATGAAACGTATGCAAATCAACATCTACTCAAACGACTTAAACAAGTGTATAACCATTTGGTCTGTGCAACGCTCAAGAATGGTCATTCCAAATAAGAAAGCCAAAAGTACAATTCAAACAGAAGGGGTTCTATGGTGCCAGAAACTTATTTCAAAATAGACAAGGAATCAATGATTTGCCCGAGAAAATCAAACCACTTCGCAACTCCACACTGACAAATGCTCCCTATCCTCAAAAAAGAATAAGAAAGAAGCTCGAAACATAAGAAGCCAAAACTGGAGGAAAAAAAACGCACTTGCAAGTTGAGTCGAACGGTTATCATTTATATGTGTGTGTGTGTGTGTGTGTGTGTGAGAGAGGGAGAGGGAGAGAGAGAGAGCGCACAAATGAAAGAAAACAGTTCTCAAATAATTTATCATTTTAAATTAATATTTTGAAGTTCAAATGAATCATAAACACCAAAAGATGTGGATTATAAAAAATGAGACATCTGCGTGAAAAGAGAATTAGATTATCCTTACCAAAGGTATAAGTGACATGTTTTCTATCACGAAGGGAGCGACCAGCACCAAGACCATCAATGTTTATCAAGTTATCAAGCATAAGAGCTTGTCTATGTTGCTTCTTTAACAGTTTCTCTTTTCTCTGCATAAATAGCACATCTTAGTGCCAATAACCCCAAAGAGATTGAGAAAGGAAAATTCATTTACATCTTTCAAACAAATGATGATTTTTTAGAGAAAAGGATGATGTGACCGAATAAAGCATAATATCCAAACTAAAAAATATGCAGTAAAAATCATCCTCCAATCAAATGCACACCACCTTTTGGACCTTCTCAACTTCAGGAAGTATGTGTTTTTTCAATTTCTTCCCGACAGAAACCTCTGTCCTGTTTTTACTTGAAAGTAGCTTCTCCTGCAAACAACAGGAATGAAATTCAGATGGACATGAACCAATGAAGGAAAATATATCGCCTCCAATATATAAAAACTAAAGTGGTTATCGAGCATGTAAGGTGCTTTTGAGATTATCGAGCAACTTATAGGGAAGAGCTTTACACACAAAGTAGCACCTCATTGAAAAGGCACATGATTTACATATTCTGAAACCTTAAATTTATACACAATTGTTAATGCTGACGTGCATTAACAATCAAATGTCCACATACATGCATACGTGCACTGTACTAGAGGCTTTCTTTTAACATCAGAGATTGTCTACAAGAAGATAACAAGATGCAATAGAGGCGGCTTTAATCATTCCAAAGATATATAAGAACATAGAAATTTCTCCTGCTTCACCTTGTTTCCCAGCCTTTCCACTGAGGACTTTGGACCAACAGTCCCACTCTTCCCCTCATCTTTGTGTTCAAGGCTAGTGCAACAAAGTTAGAATATACTCAAATGTATTGATTAATCTATAACATACTATGTTTCCAGGCTAAAAAGTCAGAACTCAAAACACTACATTCTACCATGTGTGCTCTTTTAAAAACTAGGTTTGTTGAATACCATACATCCACCCTAATATAAACCAATTGTAACTAGATACTAGGAATCATCGAGAATTTTTCACCCATTTTAACCTGGCTCAAACCAGCTTTCTCATAACAGCTTCAGCCTTAAAATTTTATGGATCAAATGATTAATGTAGCCATGAATCTCATGTTGCACCTAGAGGATCTATTTTCAAAGTACTGTCTATTTCAATTTCACTATATTGGAAAAGGAGAGCAATTCACTGTAGTTAAAAAAAAATAAAAAGAACAGGCAATAAACTTATCATAAACCAAGTAAATATAAATAAAAAATATTTGGAATTTATTCAGCTCCAATCCGTACTCCTTATAGACACGTTTCATCAAATTTAGCTTCAGCAGAGACCATTTTAGGGCCAGACAAGGTGGTTTTGTTTCTAACTTGTATTTTTATGAGAAAAGATGCAGTTTCTTCACAAGTTTCAAAATTTTCTAGAATGTTCAAGATCAAACTATGTCTTCAATTTTTAAAAATCAAATCTAAATTTTGAGCCCCTGAGTTAGAGCAGGACAAGCATTCTTTTGTTCCCATGATACACATGCATCCGTATTTCCTTGATAGAATTCACATTGTATAGTCTTTTGGAGCTTTTCAAGGCTATCTTGACATTGAATGAAGTGATTCCAG